AAAAAAAAAAAAACCAGTGAACATTGCTGAGCACTACTGTGTGCCAGGGTCTATTCTAAGTCCTTAGGTGCTTTAATTGATCCTCATAGTGGCTCTATGAGGTGTGTACGGTTATTATCTCTATTTTACAGAAGAAGAAACTGAGGCACAGAGAGGCTCAATAACTGGCCCAAGGTTACACAGCTAGTATGTAACAGAGGCAAGATTTGAACCCAGGCAGTCAGAGTCCAGCATTTTACCCATGACACACTACAGCCTCACGAAACAAATCCTCAACTGTCTATGGCTTTCCTATGTGGGGAAAATGGGATCACCCGTGAGTGTGCAAAGAGAGGCCCGTTTGAACAACCAGAGGCAGAGACTCCTCCCTGAAACTTTCGCTAGCCCTGTACTGTCTGCCTACTCTGTGCCAGGCCCCGCGCTGGGCACAGCAAGTAATGAGAAGGTGAACCTGGCCTCTTCCTTTAGGGGGGTTGGAGTCGAGAATGTGTCCTCGGGACGCGTTTACAGGCCCAGAGCTGCTGGCCCGGCTCTGTGCTGCATCTTATTTCATCCTCCATTTGAGGGAGGAAACTGAGGCTCAGGGAGCTTGGGAAACTGGCTTACACAGCAGAAGTCAGGATTTGAGTTGATCTTAACACCGTGCTGTTTCTCACCCAGCCAGCTGCCCCTGCCCTACTGTGAAATCCACCCCGCATGCAGGAGCGGCCCGCATCCACAGACACCTGCCCCCCCCCATCGGGGCGGGAACTGCCTCCAGGGCTGCCCGCCCCTGCCCCCCATGCCCGGTGACGGCTGCTGCCCGTGACCCTGGCTCGTGGGTACCCTCCCAACGTGGCCGTGGCCAGGAAGAGGTGCTGGACCCGATGCGTGACCCCATGCCAGCCAGACCTGGGGGCGGGCAGGTACCCAGGAAATGGTGGATCACACTGTTGTCACTGTTTTCTGTGTGTCTTAATTCTGTGCATTTTCATGAAGAGTTTCAGGAGCTGCCGCCAGGCCCTGGCCTCACGGGGCTGAGGTCACCTCAAAAGGTCTGCCCCCTGTGGAGGGCTATTGTCAGCCCTTCCAGGCATGGATTCTCTTCTAGTCTCAGAAGACCTCCCCAGGGATGCTGCCTGCCGTGTCTCTCTCTCCCTCCCTCTCTCTCTCGTCTCTGTCTCTCTTGGCGCTGGCCCCTGCCCCCGTGCCCCCACGTGTCCTGTGTGCCCGCATGTCTGCTTTTTAGCCTAGCCTGGGGCTGGGGCCCTCGGGGTCTCTGTACCTTCTCCAGGGTGTATGTCAGGGGGGCTTTGCCCCGAGGCCTTGGCTCCTCCCAGCTCAGAACCACATAGGCATCACAGATCTCGCTGGCGTGGACGTTGGTGGGGGGCGAGGGGATGGTCACAAAGTCTGGAATCAGTCATTGAGGAGCAGAGATGGGTGAGCCCTCAGAGACCCCTCATTTCATAAAGGGGAAATGGGCCCAGAGAGGGGCAGGGACTTGCTCCGGGTCACCCAGCAAGGCCAGGCAGAGTTAAGGCCAGAAGTCAAGTCTTCTCCAGAACTTTCCCCAGCATGCTCCCTCCTCCACAAGGGGCACGGTAAGACGGGCGGCAGTCACCCGAGAACCCTAGCCTCCAAATGGACCTCACCCGCCCTCATCTCCCCATACCCCGCACACAGACACCTTCTGCCTCCCTGCCACTTTGTGTCCCCAAGTTTCCAGAAACATAAAGGAGGCTGGAATCTTGAGGCAAAGTGTCAGGAGGTTCACACGTACCTTCAAAATCATCTGTGCTGACTGTGATCTTGTTTCCCAGATCAAAGGAGATCTCTAGGGTGGAGAATGGACCATGTTGGGGGAGAAGTAGGGGTGCAGGGTGTGTGTGGGGGGACAGCTGGGCCAGGAGGGATCAGGGTAGGACCTGCCCACTCTGGGTACTGGTTCCTCACCCTCTTCCCAGTCCTGGCCTTTGGGCCCCTCACTGTGTGACCTCAGGCAGGTGCTCTCTGAGCCCCCATATTCTCCGGGGTCCAAAGTGGAAGGAACACTGCTGTTCTAGACCCCGAGAGATGCTCTGTCTTCTTGGGACAAATGGGGACAGAGGAGAAGTGATGTGCCTGGGGTCAGATACCTAGGGCAAGGTGGAGCTGGGAGGCAAACCCACGTCAGGCTGACCCCTCAAGGCTGAAAGGGCGGTGCCCCCCATGTCCCCCCAGGCTCGGGGCTCCTGAGGCAGGGCTGTTTTCCTCCTTCAGATTAAGGGCATCTGAAGAAGGTGTGGTTCTCCCTCGGATTAGCATCTCCTGTGGACAGATTTGTTTCTTCTGTCAGACTAGTTGTACCTTCCCCCTCAGGCTAGGGGCTCCTAAGGACAGCACCGTGCTTCCTGCAACAGCCTAGGGGCTCCTGAGACTGTCTCCCTCATCCGACTAGCAGTTCCCGAGGGCTCTGCCGTGTCTCCCCCAACTCCCCTGGGAATAGGGCTTGGAATGGGGCTGTGCCACCTGTGTCCTGCGTGAGGTGGTCCTCAGTGGGCCTTGACTGATGCTCTAGAATGTTCCTCAGGGCCTCTGTACTTACCTTTCTTTCTCCGGGCTTCATCAGGGTCGCCCGTGACAACCAGTTCTGATGCCTTGGAGGGGAGGCTCCTGCCTGCCCTGCTGACGGCTCGCACCCGGAACCGATAGCTCTGGCCTTCGAGGAGGCCTTGGATAGGGCACCGACAGGTCCCGCTGGGGGCCTCGTGGCAGGGCACCCACTGCCCAGACTCGCCCTGGCACCTGCGGGAGAGAGGCCCCAGCTTCGGCCCCTGCCCCCGACGCACGCCTTCCGGGTCTGAGCCCCTCCCAAGGCCAGTCCTCCACCCCAGGCTGCCAGTTAGAGTCCTGTTCTCCACTCAAAAGCTCGTGAATGGTAGAGTTCGGATTTCACCCCAGGGCTGTCCACTCCCTCAGAGCTGGGGCTCTCTGGGCCATCCGGGTACCACTGTCCTCAGGTGGTACACCGGCCCGCGCTGCCAGCTGGATGGGGCAGTGGGCACATGGGGTCTCCCTCCTGGCCATACCACTGAAGAGCAATGTGACTCTGGGCAAAGTCATCACCCCATGTACCTCAGTTCCCTCATCTGTAGAATGGGGCACTAAAGAGTCCGCTGCTGCCCTGGATAGGATTGCAAGGACTCAGTGAGGTTAGGCGTGCAGCTCCAGGACCTGCTGTGAGTCCCCTCAGTGGCAGGATCAGGTGTCACCTCACGCTAGGGCCTGAGAGCTGGCAGCTTGTGCAAGAGGTGGGATGTCCTGGCCCCCACCCACCCCGTCCCTCCGGTCAGTGTTGTCCTGTCTCTGTCTGTCACTCAGGGACATATCCACTCGTGCTCACTTTCAAGCACTTAATGTTTGCCCCTCCCAGGGTCCAGAGGGCTGACTCCGGGGGTGGAATTCCAGGTATCGGAGGTGACAGATTTGGAGGCATGCATACCTTTCTCTTGCCCCTAAATTATATGACCTGGTCTACCTCATGCCCAGTCTGAGGCTAGGCATGGGGCTCCCTCTTTCCTGTGGCCCCCCACTCTTATTCTCACAACCAGGCAGAGCTCTCCCCTGGGGGCTCTTCCACTCGAGAGGCTGACTCACCGCTCGATGGAGTAGCCAGTGATGGGGTTGCCCCGGGTGTCGCTGGGTGGGGTCCAGGTCAGGATGAGGCAGTCTCTGTTCACATTCAGGCATCGGACATTCAGAGGGGAGCCTGGGGCCCCTGGCTTCTCGGCTGCTGCATCTGAGACCCAGGGTGGGGGTTGAGGAAGGGAGGGCGGGGAGGAGAAGGTTCTTCCAGTTGGGGTCTATTTGGCCACTGACCCCTCCCACTCCCTCCCACCCCTCCAGGGCTCAATTGTGATCTTGAGGACCAGGACCTGAACAATAGCCTCCTCCCTTTTAACCATAGCAGCTGGGGGGGGCTGTGAGAGTACCAATCATCAGGGGCCCATTCTACTCTACGCCCCTGAATGATCAGTGTAATTAATCTCTGAGCCCTGTAGCATGCCTCCATTTAGTGGATGGGAAAACTGAGTCTCAGAGGAAAAGTGACTTGCCCAAAGTCACCAGCTAGTGGGGTGGCAAAGCCAGGATTTGAACCCAGATCAGTTCAGAGACCAAGAGGCAGAACTCACCAGGTACTAGAATCATCCCAGCCCACTCTCAGCCCTCCCTCCCCAGCTCCTAGTAAGTCTGAACTCAAGCGGTGTCCTATTGGAGGGCCATAGGATGCCACAGGGATTCTTAGAGACTCTTCACTCAACACCCCAATTTATAACAGGGAAACTGAGGCCCCAAGAGGGCGGGGAAACTTGCAAAAGGTCCGACAGCCAATCTGATTGCTGGGCTCCAGCTACACCTCCTACCCTCCAACCCCCCACTCACCTCTCACGAACACATAGGTGCTCTGCTCCTGGAGCCCAAAGGGGGAAGGGACCTGGACAGTGTAGAGCCCCTCATCCTCTTTGTAGGCGCAGGACACCTTCAGGGATGCCTGGCGGTCTGCGTAGAGGATCTGCCGGCGTCCTGAGGGTCTCAGTAGTCTCCCTGAGGAGGGGTGGGGTCCAGTGTGAGCTCTGGCCTCACCTGTGAACCTTTAGATGGTCTGGGGGTTTAGGCAGAGGCGTGGCTGGTGTGGCTGGTGTGGCTGGTGTGGCTATAGCCTGAGGCTCAGCCGGGGAGTTGGGGGGGGTGGCCCTGAATTCTCCTCTGCTGAAGGCTTGGGGAGTGGGGCAGGGTCCAGGGAAGGGGTTGGTGGCTCAACATGGGAATGAGCATCTAAGGAAGTGGTCAGTGGCCCAGTGAGGAGTTGGAGGTGCTGTGAGAAAGTGGGAAAAAGAGAGGTGGGCCCCTTTGTGAGGGTCAGTGTCTCTGCGCGGGGGCTGGGGGCTCACTGTGGGTGTTGGGGGCTCCGTGGCTGGGGATTGTGAGCTCAATGAAGGGAGTGGGGGCTTGCTGAAGGCATGGAGGCTCAGGAAAGGGGCTGGGGGCTCGCTGAGGGAGTTGGGGTGTCCGTGAGGAGGGTAAAGGGCTCGTTGAGGGAGGTGGGGGCCAGTGAGGAGAGTGGGGACTCAGCAGTGTGACCTCAGTGAGAGGGATGGGGACTCAGTGAACGGGCTCTGGGGCTCAGGGAGTGGGTCCTCCCCTGAGGCCACACTGTGGGGCCAACCCGCTCTGTGTTCCTCCCTCCTGCCAGGACCTCCATTCTGGAAGATCTACAGGCTTGGGAAGACATCTCAGGCTTATGGCAACTGTCTCTCCTTCTGGCTTTTCCGCTCTTCTGCCCCGCCCCCCGCCCCCAGCAGGTGCGGCCTCCCTGGGGGTGCTTGCCGGCTGCTCTGCTCCTTGTCCTTGGGCTGCAGGCCTGGTCACAGGTGGGGAAGGAGGTTCAGCCATCCGTCTCCTCCCTGGCTGTCAATGGGCGGCGGCTGCGACTGTGCCTTGGCTTCCTCCCGCCTCCCAGATGAAGAGCCCCTTGCGTTCATGCACATCTGTCTATCCCCGCCCGGGCACCCAGCACAGGGCCTGGCACCCACAGGGGCTTGGTGACCTTTGTAGGGTGACCTGGTCTGAATGCACCTGGCTGGGCTCCTGTTTTCTTCGGCACTCATTACTCAGCTTATACCTGGGGAGGGGCATAGCCGAGTTTCTTTCTCCATTGACCCAGGGACCCAGGGCTGGGGTGGAGCCAACGCTCTGGTCCCTCTCTGGCTTCCATCTCTGTCCCTGAAGACTGGGGACCAGGACAGGGGGGCCTCACCATCTCGGCGCCACTGGATGTTCTGCTCAGCATCTAACACGTCTTCCGAGAATAAGCAGGACAGGGAGAAGGGCTCCTTCTCTCGGGCAAAGACTGGCTTCAGCACCGAAGTGAATTCCACGTTGGGGCCAAGCATCAGTCCTGGGGGTGGGAGGAGAAGTTAGGGCAGCAGTCTTTGGAGGCCACCAGCCTAGCCTGGGACATCCCCACTCTTCTGAGTCAGGATTCATAGTTCCCGGGGGTGGTCTTTTTTTTTTTTTTAAGATTTTTATTTGTTTGTTTAACACAGAGAGAGAGAGCACAAGTAGGCAGAGCAGCAGAGAGAGGGAGAGGGAGAAGCAGGCTCTCCGCCGAGCAGGGAGCCTGATGCGGGGCTCGATTCCAGGACCCTGGGACCACAACCTGAGCCGAAGGCAGCCGCTTAACGACTGAGCCACCCAGGCACCCCCTGGGGGTGGTCTTAACCAGGAAGTATGGGTGGGGCCGAGACTTATCTAAGTGGGATCAGATGAGCCAGAATAGCAGGTACCAAAGGCCACGTCCTTTGTCTGTTTGGCTTTGCCTTTCTCACTCAGTTTTGGCCCCTGGCTAGCTCGGCAGCTGGGGACAGCTCTGGGGTGCCGGGGGGCCCCCACTAGTCAGTCTGCAAGGATGAACAGCTCACAGGCAATGACATACCTTTGTGGGCAATGGATGGATGATATTCTAAAGGGGGCTGTGGAAGGTAGGACGAGGAACCCAGACACCCTCCTCCCCGAAGGCTGTCCCTCCCTGAGCCTCCTTACTTTTAAAGATCTCCGAATCGAAGCCAGCGTCCTTCCCCACGTAAGCTGAAAGCCCAAGGCAAATGGAGTTTGAGAAGGTTCAGACCTCACGACCCTAATAGATTAGAGGCGGGGGCTTGGCTGTGGGTTTGAGTCCTGGTCTATTGGTGGGTTCTCCTCTGGCTGCTGGAAGATCCTTCACCCCCTGGGCCTCTCTTCCTTTCTCGGTAACGTGGGGACAGTGGCTCCTCGCTCCTGATGGTGGGGTTCTGAATAAGTGAGTTCACATGAACTAAGCCCTCAGACAGAGCCTGGCACACGGCGCTCAATAAATGGTGGTTTCCATCCTCTGCCCAGACCCACTGCCAGGATCACATAGTCTTCATAGACGCCAAGTCTGGTCGGAATGGGATTTCTGGTGGGTTCAGGGATAGCCAGCAGGAGAAGGGCAGCGCTGACATTAAGATGGGGGCTTAAGGGCGACATCCAGGATGATGTTGACACAGACCACCAGAGCATAATAACAGCCCTCGTTCACAGGGGACATACCACGTGCCGCATATTAACTCACATAGAGTCCTCCCAGTACCCTGTCTTTTGGTGCCATTATCATCCTCTCATACAGATGAAGAAACTGAGGCATAATCGCCCAGCTAGTACCCCAGCAGCCCGAAGCCATGATGTGACTGGTCCCTGGTAAGGCCCTTCCTGAGTGAGGCCCGGAGGGGGCTGGGAGGCCGCCCAGAGTCACACAAAGTCAGTAAAAGACTCAGGATTAGAACCCAGACCTCCTGCCTCCCAACCCAGGGCCTTCTATCAGTTGCTATGGAGGTGAGAGCAGGGGAGGGATGGTGATGACCGTGAGTGGATGCTCTTAGTGGGAGCCTGGCTGGAGTCTGGGGGCCAAGAAGCCGAGTGGATCTCAGAGTTGCTGGCCTTGGTGGAGAGAGGGATGGGGGTCTGGAAGAAGGGATGGGAAGGATGGGTGGACAGAGGGAGGCAGGGCCCTGATGCTTGACCTTGGGCTTGAATCTAGGCACAGCCTATAAGGACAGCTCAAATTCCACAGAGAGCCGGACTGGCAGAGGGGACAGCTGCCTCCCAAGAGCTATTTGGGGAACAGGGCAGGGGGATGGAGAGGAGTGTGAAGGACAGTTTAACAAGGTCTGGTGAGAGGCAGGGAGCGGGCTGGATGCCAGCCTGTCTGTTGACCAGGGAGTGTGTGTGAGTGTGTTTGTGTGTGTGTGCGTGTGTGTGTGAGTGTGTGCATACGCAACCTCTCTCTCAGGGGCCCCGAGGACAAGGCAGCACTCTCCTGGGCCCAGAGGTGTGGCCTCCTGGCTAGGCTCCACCCTGGTCATGGTGCGGGGGACAGAGAGCCATGGCTTCCCTAAGTCTACTACACGCCAAGCTTTACCTCTACCATCTCATTTAATCAACCAGAGCACCTGAGCGAGGTGGGAGGAGTCCCCCTTTACAGACGAGGAGGCTCAGAGAAGTGAAGTGAGGTGGCCCAGGCTCCCACAGCCGGTCAGAGGCAGAGCCAGCATGTGGACATGGGTCTGGCTGACTCCTGAGTGTCTCCCCTGCCTTATGCTCTCATCTCAGGTGCCCCTGGGGGAACCTCCAGGATCGGGAATCACACCAGTCAGGAATTGCACCAACGGCAAATAAACACCAGCACCCAAATGGGGCAGTGAGGCCCAGAGGGGAGTTGGTAGGGCTCAGCCTTTCCCCCTGAGGACCCCTCAGCAGGGCTGGCAGGGCCGGGCCACCGTCCCGGGGCCCCTGAGCTGGATCCAGACCCACCCCAAGCCCAACCCGACGAGATGAGCACGCTCTTCGGAGGTAATTGTATAGGATCTACAGTCTGAGGGAGGCGACTCTCCCTTGCTCTGCAGGCCCCAGGGAAGTGAGTCTCTGTGGCTGTCTTGGTCACCCGATCCCAGGCCCAACACCCCTGCGTCAAGGGGCCTCCCTCACGTCTGCGTGCGGACGCACGTCCTCATCTGCTCACTGTGGGAGCAGTGAGCAGTGGGCCTGGCTGGTGGGAGCGGGAGTACTTACTTCGGACAAGGACTTTGGCGAAGGACGAGGCCTGGCCATAGGTGTTCTTCATCATCACCGTGTAGGTGGCTGCATCCTCAAGGGTGCATCTGAAAAGGAGAGAGGAAGTGCCCCCCAAGACTGCTGGGCTCCATGGGAAACTCCAGTCCCCACGTGTCGGGGCGGGGTGGGGAGAGGCAGGCATGCCCATGAGGGCTTCGGGGTGGGGGGAGACTTTAGGCTTTAGCTCAGGCCCCACCTCTGAAAAAGCTGTGTGCCTTTGGGCCGGCCACTGCCCTTTGCTGTGCCTCAGTGTCCTTTTCTGAACTAGGGACATAACACCAGGCTGACCCAACTCAGGTGAAAGTACTGTGAAAATATGATCGTTAGTACTGACTCGGTAGGATCAGACAGGTTAAGCGATTTGCCCAGAGTCACACAGCACCCCGAATTCAACCCAGCTTCAAGGTGACAAGCTGTCTCGCAGGCATAGCCTCCTGCCCTGTCAACACCTCCAAATCAGAATCCTGGAGCAGGAGTGGGGCTCGACTGCCAGTCTGTGCCTGAACTGGGCCGGATGCCCAGGTGTTCTCAATCTCAGCCCTGGGTCTCGTCACTAGTCAGGACAACCCTGTCTCATTCCCAGGGCTTGGGCTGGCTCCATTCCAGGGCCACGCTGGGGACCACGAGAGTTGTTGGAGGGATGTGGCACGTCTGGCCCCATCAGCAAGCAGAGAGGCTCCTTGGTATCCCTGCTCTTACCCTGGCTGCTCAGGGTAGGAATCCCTCTTGCTTCAAGCACCAGTCCCACCTGCCCCTCCAAGCAACCTTGACCCTGCATGCCTTCCCTGACTGTCCAGCCCATAGGCACCGCCCTTTGTGCAATTGTGTGGTCAGATACTTATGTCCACGTCTCCCCACTTTGCTTCTGGAGGGTAGGATCAATGTCCTGTCCAGGTTTGTGTCTCTGAAGCCCAAATTGGTTGAGATGGAGGGATTGCCATACTGGAAAGAACCCAGGTGGAGAGAACAGCCTCAAACCCAGGCCCTGCCCTGCACAAGCCGTGCAAGACCCTTTATCTTTTAGAGCCTGGGTTTCCTCTCCTGTACCACGGACAAGGCTTCCCTGAAAGAACGGTGGTGGGCATCATCAATCATGTGCGTGTCACTCCTCACACAGGGCTTGGCACTGGCAGGAATTCAGCACGTGACGGCTCATGCGAGCTGTAATGTGTGCTCTGGCGGGGATTGTGCTCAGATCCCCTGGTGCCCGCCCTCCATGCATGCTGCTTCTCCCTTCATTTTTTTTTTTTTTTTCTTAAATAGGCTCCACACCCAATGTGGGGCTTGAACTCACGACCCTGAGATCAAGACCCGAGCCCATATCAAGAGTCAGATGCTCAACTGCCTGAGCCACCCAGGTGCCCCACTGCTTCTGCCTTCAAACCATGCTTAAGACTCACCATCTCCTGACGGGCCCATCTAACTCTCTCCCCTCCAACCACTTCCCCTTGCACTCATGCCTGTGTGTGTCTGTGTGTGTGTGTGAGTACGCACGTGTCCATGTGTTTTCTCTCCCCTGCAAGGAGCACTCCCAGCATTTCTAGCCCATCCATCTGGCCTTTGACTCCAAATTTCCCCTCGTGTATTCCAAGGCATCGGAATGACATGGGAGTGTCTGTTAAATACCGATTTCCAGGCCCCATTTTAGAATAAGACCCACTTAACCTGACTCTCTGGAGGCAAGCGGAGGGCCCATCTCATGAATCAGTGTTTTAATAAGCACCCCAGGTTCTTCTGAAGATGAGGCTGACTCAGTTAATAAGGATTTGAAACCCTGCTCTGGCTTCGGGGGTGTTGGAACCCCGGGGGGGGGTCATGGGTCTCCCTAGGGGCCACAGTCTCACCTCCTAATCTCCAGCGTCAGCAGCCCATAGTTGTTGGTGATTCGGTACTTTCCGGCGGGAAAGAGGCGGGGATCGATTCGCATGTCATTTTTGTACCTGTGGGGACACAGTGGTCTGTGGCAGGCAGTGTGGCTCTGAGGGGAAAGGACCCAGAGGCTCTCAGACCTGGATTCCAACCTCAGCTTTGTGCTGTTTACTTGCCTATGTGACGCAAGGCAGCACTTTCACTGTTCTGAACCTCAGTTGTCCTCATCTGTGAAATGGGAGTAGTAAGAGCACTGACCTCATAAGGTTGCTGTGACAGTCCAATGGGATAAGATATGTAAAGCTTTTCTCTGGTGCCCCGAACACTGTCGGTGCTCAAAGGTTCATTCTCCTTCCGGGCTGTTGGTGGGGGCAGGGAAGACGGAGCCTGTAATGAGGGGTAGCTGCCCCCAGGGCCCTCCTCTCTGAGGGGGTTGCCACGGAAGGTACCCCATTCTTCCTCCCTTGTCAACCTCTCAGGAGGGCAGTTCTTTATCTTGGCTCTCGTTGGAGTCCCTGGAGAAAGCTTTCAAAGTCTCCATGCTGGGATTTTGAACAGAAGACTTTGGAAATTTGTATCAGAAGCTGTTCATTGGTCTCCAATAGCCATTCGCTCTTATTCTTTTTCTTTCTTTTTTTTTTTTTAAGTTGGCTCCATGTTGGGTGTGGAGCCCAACACAGGGCTTGAACTCAAGACCCTGAGATCAAGACCTGAGCTGAGATCAAGAGCATGACGCTTAACCGCCTAAGCCCAGGTGCCCCTCCCTCTTATTCTAAAGGAGCAAGATTCATCACTGAGCCACCCCGTGTGTAACCGGTTTCCTGCCCTCTCTTTCTTTTCTTTCTTTTTTTTTTTCTTAAAGATTTTATTTATTTTATTTTTGAGAGAGAGAGAATAAGAGAGAGCACATGAGAGGGGGGAGGGTCAGAGGAAGAAGCAGACTCCCTGCCAAGCAGGGAGCCCGATGCGGGACTCGATCCAGGGACTCCAGGATC